GGTAGCACATGACTTGTTTCCTTCATCTATGACGAGTATTCCAGAAATTTTAGAGATAACGTAAGTTGTAAAATTTTCTGTAAAAATTGTTATATAACTAATAGAGTTATTGAATCTATATAACAATTCTTACTAGGCTTTAAGCAGTTTCTGCAGTTCATAATACCTAAGATTCCAGTAATCAACAGATCACACCTCAGGAAGGTCTGAGATTAGATGCCACTATGCAACAAATAAAATTTGAGGAATATATGCAAGCCTTAGATGAATAATTAACAATATATAGACTGAAATTCACAAAAATTATCCAATATTGAAGAAACAGACACATCAACATTGATCTTTTTCTTTTACTTAGAGACATGCATCTGTGGCCACAGTAAGATTCCAGGTCAAGCAGCCACAAGACCGAAGGAGATACTAAGCATAAAGATTACTCGAAGAAGGTATCTTGTAAAAAAATATAAGTAAAGAAAGTAAAGGCATGCAAATGGATCACCTCTGAACGTAGGTCATCTACCGAAGCAGCTGAAAAAGTGGGAACCAGATCAGCACCATTGATAACTGAAGTGACAAAGGGCACACCCGATTCAGCCAACTCCCATGTCATACAGGCACCTGCATGTAAATATATACCATTATCACTGCTCATGGACAGCACAAACACAGCATGCAATATAATTGACATATGAATGACAAACATATAGTACAAACCCTAATAATAAAATGCTCAGAAGAGCTATTGTAACTCAACTGATGAAGAGCCTGGCTCATTTTAACTGAATAGTAAATAAATTGCCGTAATTTGCCACCTTGACAGAACAAGCAAATAGTTAATGATGGGGCCCACATGCATATTTCGTTAACGATAGCCACTGTTATAAAACAAACTAGCTCTGGCACTATCTTATCACACCAAAATGTTGGCCTGACTCCAGATGTCACCACTATAACATGATTCACATTTCAATATCGAAATGATGGCAACACCTAGTTCTCAACAGACTTGAACATATACCAGCCATAATTCTGATGTCAAATATGCTCCTGCATGCATACAGGTACCTTAACTTGGAAACATTTGACACTAAAATGTTAAGAGGAATCAAACCTGGAGCAAATGTAACACACGTGGTGGTGGCAAACTCCTGATGTTCACGCAAGACGTACGTTAAAATTGCTGCAGTGCCTCCACCAAGAGAATGACCGACAATCTAAGTAATATTTCAAGAATAAGATGTTAGTAAGGTTAATAAAATACTAGAATGCATAATGAAATTATATCAGAAGACAGTGCTCAAAATTATAATAAAAAATAAAAAAAATGATTTTCAGAAATCTAGAATAGAATAAACTTAGAAGTTGTACCAAAATGAATTTAGGTGTTATTAAGAATAAACAAATAGTTTGCAAAAGAATTAAGAAAACCCCAAAATAGTCCTAAAATCTCTTTGACAGAGAAACAGCTAATATACAGGTAATGGCAAATCCAGGTATAGGATTCACCTTCAGTTTATAATCAGGATAGTCGTGCAATGCTTTCACGAGACAAGGGGTTGCAAGCTTTGCTATCCATCTAGCCGCTGCAACCATTCCACAGTGAGCGTACCCCAGAATTAAATCACTTACACCACCTTCATGTACAACTGTATGATGGAATGGTACAACCGCACCAGTTGCTGCAGTCAGAGTATCTCTAATGCTGTGAGTTCCCCGAATCAATAGCAAGATACACTTTGTACTTTTGTCAACAAGAATGGTAAATGCTGGCTTCAAAATCTGCACACATATTGAAAAAACTCAGATCTCAGAAGAAAAGGTAATAGAAAAACATAGCTTATTCAAGCAATAATTTCAACATTTTCCATCTTAACTACTTGCGATAATATTAAATGGCCAAAGGGATTTTGGATGCGAATCAATTGGAAACTTCACTCACCCCTGCTTTAGGTTCCTGAAGCAGAACATCTTCTGTAGCATAACCAGTTGTCTCCAGAAATAATGGGAATGGTTTCTTTGAGAAATGCCAGCACAGAGTCAACAAATTTAACAGATACTTCAATTCATCAATGGTTTGTGTTCCTTTAAGTGGTATGCTGTCTTCTCCAGCATATATGCTAGCAACATCTAAATTTCCCTGCCAAGAAAAGAACAAACAGAGAATTAATAATAGTAATAATAATACAAGATTAATAAATGACATGATATTTACACATCCAGAAGTTTGAGCCTTCAACTCAGATCTAAAAGGTAACTTAACCAGATATAAATAAAAGCATAACATTAAAAATTAACTTCCAAATAGTGTTGTGCCTGTTATACACTGCTCGACTATAGAAGTCCCATGCAGAAGTCCTACCCTACATCGATCAATTCGCTTCCAAGCTAATACTCAAAAGAAATGAAACCCAAAGGCATAAGTGCTAAAAGTTAGTAAACTAGAAAATAGAAAAATAAAAAGACAGTTTCCTTGATTGCTAATAGTTCAGAGTATGGAATGTTGGAATGGTAATGGCTCACTTCTTTACTCTCCTATCTTTGTAATTAAATTAAAGAAGAAAAGGTCCAAATGCTTCAAGGTAACATGTGATGCATGTCATGAATCAAATATTATTTGCCAGTGAGTGTGATTATACATTATTTCTGCCTTAAATATAATTCTTGCTTCAGTTATTTTATGTACAATTCCCATTTAAAAATATACCACCATGAAGCCTCAAGGACGATGGAGAAGGCCACTTTAGGGATACATTCGACTAGAGATTTATCAAAAACAAAAAAAAAAAGAGAAAGGAAATAATACAATGGACACAATTGACTCTTCTAAGTATTACCAAAACTCAGTAAAAACAAACAATATGCAAGGATTTTTACCTCACTACAGTTGTTAAGCAGTGCAGATTAAACAGTAAATGAATGATTAAGTGGAATTAACAGAATCGTGTACTTCATTGTCATATTAGCTACACTTCTTTACTGCTGTAAGGATGCAAATGCTCCTAATTCATTTAAAATGACTTGCAATAAGTAGCATGTTTTTGAAGGATTAAGTAAGACCATTGAAGGGGTACATAAGGCTTGCTGATTCCCTATCCTGAGACATAAATGAGACCATAAGCCTACTTCCCTATGGGCTGACTGAACTGAGTAGAACTAATTTGGTTAATCACATCTATATGTCCAAAAAACAAACAAGATTGTCAGAAAATTATGGCTCATGCGTCCAAAAACATCATAAATGATTCATTAATAGTTTTCAACAAACAATTAATGCTAGTAGCAAATATACTGCAAATTAAAGTTATCACATAATGTTGTAGAATTTAACTGACTCAGAAAAAGGACTCAATACCATAGAAGTCATGAACATGGTCCGCTATAGAGAGAACCGCGACCCGGGTCCAATCGTCCCAGATTCGCGTGGAACACAACCCGATTCACTAACTCTAGTGACCTAATTTAAAATTCAAACCACTTAAAACATTAAAAAAATAACTCTTCTTAAAAGAATAAACAACAAAAAAGTGAGGAATTAAGCAATTAAAGTATGCATCATAGTTACATAGTACGCGGTACGTAGCGGGTCACGATACGAATTCGGGTACGCAATCCGCCACTTAGAAAATTTGAATTCATTCGGGGGTAGCTTGCTTCGGTACACAATTTCGGTTAGTGGTACGTTGTAAATTTTTTTTTCAGGTGTGCTTAAAGTTTTTCAAAGTATATAATAGAAAATTAGAAAGCTAATTATGAATTTTAATTTTTTTCATATAAAATACTTAATACTTTTTTTTGTGGAGTTTGTTTCTTTGTTCTATTTTTTTCACAAAGCTCGTTTTAGGATCATGGATCAAGGTTTCATTTTACATTTAATTAACGTGCATATTTGGTTACAGGAAAGTCATCGGCTCATATACTCTATTGTGTCTTCCGAACCGTCGTGCAGTTCCTGCGAACCGATTCCCAGTACATTTGCGAACTAATTCCTCTGATACACAAACCGGTTCCCTAAAATTGGCGTACCACTTACAAGTATACTAGATGCAAAGTCACCTTTAAATGCACGTGCGCAAGACACAATGCAATGTGTGCAATTAAGGGTGCGCAATGATGGTATGCACATCTTAATTGCAACATGATTCTTGAGGTTCTTTTACCATTCCTGATGTCAACTAGCATTTAAGAACGAACCTAAAACATACCACGTTTCTAGGCATATCATATAAGCCTACCCCCTCGTATCTGATTCCTAATGAGTGGCTTACCACGTTCCCATACCCGTCCTGTGAACCGGAATGAAACGGGTTCCATGTAACTATTGTCAATACACTCCCGTACTTTAACAAAAACTCAAGTCTAAAAAAACACCATAGCTTCTAAGTTCTAACCTGCCTCTCAAGGAGAAAATTAATGCCAAAAGCTAAATCCCCGATAAGCCATTTGCCCAGTCTCATAGTAGGTGAACCTTAAAGTTTTTGACAATTCTTTACTGCTGTAAGGATGCAAATGCTCCACACTCATTTAAAATGACTTGCATTAAGTAGCATGTGTTTGAAGGATTAATTAAGACCACTGAAGGTGTACATGAGGCTCTCTAATTCCCTATCCTGATACATAATGAGACCATACGCCTACTTTACTATGGCTGACTGAACTGAGTACAACTAATTTGGTTAATCACATCTAAATGTCCGAAAAACAAACAAGATAGTCAGAAAATTATGGCTCATGTGTCTGAAAACATCAGAAATAATTCATTAATAGTTTTCAACAAATAATCAACGCAAGTAGCAAATATACTGCAATTTAAAGTTATCACATAATCTGCTAGAGTGTAACTGACTCAGAAAAAATACTCAACACACTCACATGCTTTAACAAAAAAACTCAAGTCTGAAAAAACAACACAGCTTCTAAGTTCTAACCTGCCTCTTGAGGAGAAAATTAATGCCAAAAGCTAAATCCCCGATGGGCCATTTGCCCAAAGTCTCAGAGTAGGTGAACCTTAAAGTCTCTGACAACGTCGAGATGGTTTCTAACCATGTAGCCGGAGCTCGGACAGGCCTTTGTGAGACCGGTTTCCTTGTGGAAAGTAAAGGTTTTGAAGACTCATCTCCTTTCTTCTCACAATCTTCTTCTGACTGAGAGTGGTCAACTTGCAGTTTCTTGTTCAGTGTGTAATAAAGAAGCGCGGCAGCTCCTGCCGCAGTCGCCATTGTTGCTGTTGCCATTGCCTCCAAATTAATTCAACGATCACAAAGTTCACTGGAAAAACGACCAAAAAACATGATAGTGATCAATAACATGAGGTTCCATCTGAAATAGGTGATAGTGATAAATAACTTGGAATTTGACCCCAAAACATATAGCTTAAAAAGGACAAGAAAAACATGTAAAGATCAATTGTAACAAAACCGCATATTAAATAAGTTTCAAATTGGAAAATCTACCAACTGTTTTGTTGTCATTCAAAATAAATTAAGCATACCTACAGTCACTGTAAAAAATAGCTTGAAAAAAGAGCAAGATGAGTTTTTTTCCTGAAATAGTAGAAATAAATAACTTGAAATTGAGCACACAAAATGTTGGCTTGCCTTAAAAGGAAGACAGATGAGGAAGAATCAGTTCTTTATAATGAAATTACAGACAAAAAGGTTCAAACTGGAAAATCTTTCCAACAAAAATAATTTACTTCATTAGAAATTAAGAAGAAAATCTTCAAACTGACAAGAACAAATAAATGACTAGTCAGAGCTCACAAATCTATCAAAAAATGTAGAAAAGAAAACTAAACTTAAATGGAAATGACAGCGAAAAACCTAACACGTGAGAGAACCGATAAGTGAAATCTAAATCTCTTTAAAAGCTTGTGGTCACAGTTCAATGAATCCTAATTTAAAGGGGAAAGAGGAACATTCCTTACCCTTAACAATAATGGATAGATAAGAGCAGCATGAGAGGAAATGAGTTTGGTAAGAGAATTTCTTTATTCGTTGTCTAGACAAGTTGATTTAGACGTGCACTAGGTGCATGTTACTTACACAAAATATAAGTAAAATAAAAAAATAAAAAATACTCATTTATGAATATCTTCTGTGAATATTTGCTCAAAGTTTAGGGTATTATATTTCAAAAGCTTAATAATATCTATTGTTTTGACACTATAATTTCTAAGACCTCAATATTCTGTTTTCTGTATTTTTGAGTTTTCCCTACTCATATTTGAGTCGTTTCTGGTGTATAAGATAAGCAAACAGGGAGCAATTAGTTATACTTCAAGAGGTGCCAATCCATGTCCCAATTGAGCTATTGACTCTCCATGATCCCAAAATTGGTAAATTCTAATCAACCAGTAAGATCGTAGCCAAAAGCACATCCTAAAGTTATTAGGGTATGCAAAGTTGCAAACAAGTAATGCTTGTAATAATAGTTACATGTTAAATTTATAGTGATATGATTTTTTTTTCTTTAATTATCAGAAAAAGAAAATATAAGAATAAAGATATTTTAAAAAAAGGCATTCAAAGGTGCGTAAACATTTATTTGACACCTGAAAGGGATATTTCAATTTCTGTTGCCCTAATAATACTTATAATTCTAGCACATATACTAAAAATGTATTTAGACAAATTGAAATTAATAAAATATGATCTCAATAGTAAAGGATTCAAGTCATTATTTAAATTCGCCACGGATATTTATTTTGACACCTCAAAGGGATACAAAATAAATAAATAAAACATACAACCTATATAAAATAATATATTCAAGCATAATTTAGAAATTATAGAAAAGGGTAAAATAATCCCACCACACATCTATAGGTGACAAACACGAGAAGGAACAAGAGAGGAATGTGAAAATCTCCTCATGTCAAGCAAGATGTCTAAAGTTTCATAATCCTATCATGACGTCCCTTGTTGGACCGGACAAGCTCGATGCCTCAAGAACACCTATGCTCGTAAACTCCAAAGTTCACATCTTACAGTTCTCGTTATGTCTGCCAGTGAATTTCCTAAAAATTTTCAGTACACACAACTTGTCACCCTCTCAGTATAGTGCTGCATTATTTGCCAAGGACAGAACAAGTAGTTATGTCAAAATCCATGAACCACGTACAAGAAAGTTTTACATGCTAAGAAAGTTTTAAGCACCAAGCCATCAACCCACCCCGGATCCCCCCCAAAAAATAGACCACCTATATGCAAAATCACCATTTTCCAGCTTAACCCATGGAGACCTATAGTAATGCAAATCACTTTATCTTGAAGTATAAATGTTTACAAAAAGGAATCAAGCATCCTTGCTACACATTGATACTCCGGATGTACGACATAAACAGGTCACCCTGACTTTTCAATAAATTAGGGAATTCCATTCCAATGGTCCTAAAATTGAAGTACTTAGATATCTCACATAGTAGGACGTGAATATGAAACCAAGAAAATTATTATCAAATCTAGCAATGAAAAAAAAAAACAAATCAGTTAGCATTAGTTTCAGAGAATATCCATACATGATTACTATAGACAGATGTTTCTCCTCTCTTTTTGTCCTAACTAGTCACCACCACAAACCAACCCATAACAGACAAACCATCACCAAGCCAACATTTTTTTATTCATACTTCATAAAAGAATATGCATATGATTTACACTTGGATTCACTAATCTATGAGCTTATGAAGAATGGTTTTTTTAGACTGACAATTCGCCACGGGGTTTAAAGAAAAATTTTCCAATACAACTCAAGAAAATAAGATTATGAATAAAAATCATAGGAATGCTTCGTAAATAGAATCTTGACATGAAGGTAAAAGGAAAATCAATCACAACCACAATCACAAACTTCTTTCTGCCTGTAAATTACTAGATCTCATAATTTGGAGATAATTCAATACAAATCAAAGAGAACAGATCAAACCTTTCCAAATCGCCGAAAAATCATCAGAATGGATATCCTTCACGATTCCGACCGCTTTCGATATCAAAGAACCCTAAGCCTAAAATCACCCAAAAAAGAAAGAAGGCAAAAAAAACCCTAGATTGAGGGTTTGTGATGTTAACAATGAGAAATTAGAGTGAGGAAATTCGAAGCGAAGCGTTTGCACGAAAAAGAAGTGAGCGAAATCAAATTTAGAAAATGGGTTTTAGTCGATTAAATCGGATTGAAATTGATTCGTGTAACTCGATGGGTAAGATTTTCGTTTACGACAGGAATAGCATGTCGAGGCGCTTTACTAAACCGCCCTTTATAGTGGTAAATTTATTACTAGATTTAGATCGTATATTAGATTTTGGGGGAAAATGTATCTAGCCCAAAAAATAAAAGGGATGTCACTAGGCCCCCTCGTTTTTTTTTCTCGCCAAAGCTCCTAATAGATAAGCTTGTTATGTTTTAGCTCCTTTTTTTCTTTTTCAAGACAACACATTGAGATTTGTTTACGAATACCCTAAAATGCCCTCTCTCTCTCTCTCTCTCTCTCTCTCTCTCTCTCTCTCTCTCTCTCTCTTCTCCCTCAACCTCTGCCTCTCCGAGTCCCTTGTCCTCCAGACCTTGGCCCACACCCCCCCCCCTCCTCCTGCCCCGTCCCCGACCTCCTCCTCCTCCGCCTCAAGTTCTTCGACTGGGCCAGCCACCAGCGCTCTCACCCCTACCGCCACACCCGCTCCGCCTACCACTCCATCTTCCGCATCATCGCCCGCGCCTACCGCGCCTCCTCCCTCCTCCACTGGACACAATGGTTGGTCTTCATTAGCGGTAAGCTTAATTCTTAATTGATTTATATTCTGACCATTATGCTTTGTCTTCCCTTTACCTGAGCAAATGGAAACTTGAGAGGATGGTGATCTCATGTTATGTTGACTACCAGACATCCCGTCCCATTGCTCATTATGGTTACAAGTTCATTATGGCATAAGTTAACTTATTTTATTTTCCATTTTTCCCCTCCAGTTGGGAACAGCCAGCAGGAAAAGAACAACAACTGAGTGTTGAACAAAGTGAATTCTGGATTATGAATCAGACAACAGTTTCCTTCTAGCATAAGATCTGTGAGTAGCAACTTGATGGTTTTTTACTTACTCTCCTTCACCTCGAAGACTTGAGGTCGAGTTTCGAGCTATTACATTTAAGTTTGTAGACATGAATTTTATTGATCGAAACTAAATTAGCAGAATAGTGGAATTATATGTAAATGTAAATGTATATCATCTCATGGTCTTTTGGGTTGTACTAGTGTTGTATGGAGTATGTCATGAAGATGAAGCCAGTGGAGAGCGCGAAAATAAAGTGGATGATAACTTCTGCAATGTTGAAGGCCTTAATTTGGATACTAAGATTATTGTGTGTATTAATTTAGTTGTGTAAACAGTTGATGTGGATGACAAATGTTACAGCAAGCTTGTCATTTATTATTCTTATTGTATTTTTGGTATTTTTGGTATTTTTGTTACCATATATTTATGCTTTGTTTTGATACAACATATATTTAACAGGTTCAAATGAAAAGCTACCATATATTTGACAAGTTAACATATTCAGTTGCATGTTATCATGTTATAAAGAAAGCTGACATATAACAGTGAAAGTTAACATATTATGCTAAAAGTTAACATATTCAGCTGATAGTTAGCATGCAAAGTTGCAATATAACATGTTCATAAGAAAATTAACATATGCAGATGAAAGTTAACATATACAGCTGACAGTTAATATGTTCAAACATATATAGCTGACAATTAACATGTTTACGTGAAAATTAACATATACACCTAAAAGTTAACATATACACTTGGAAGTTAACATAAACATATGAGAGTTAACATGCTCACATGAATCAATTTTCACCAAAAAGTTTGTTGGGTTATGCTTTGTACAAACAACCTGAAGATTCTGAAGCAAAGTGAGAATCCCTCTAGGTCAAAGGATGGAGATTGTTTTCATTCACAAATGCTACACTTATTTAGACTAATTCATAAAGAAACATGAAATATAAGTCATCTAAACTATGTTGTGTTTCACATAAATAGTTCATGACCTGCATATATGTTCAATGTCAGCGTTTCTAAAGTAGTTCACAAACTGTATGTTCAATGATAAGACCACAGATCAACAACAATTGCCATAGTTCGTTTCTAAAGTAGTTCACAAACTGTATGTTCAATGATAAGACCACAGATCAACAACAATTGCCATAGTTGGGGAATGAAACATGAACAAGACCACAGATCAACAACAATTGCCATAGTTGGGGAATGAAACATGAACAATCCATGGACCCAATATCTGAATGGCAAGTAAGGCATAAGAAAAATGATAAAGCACCAAAAAACAGCAGCAAGAGATCATCATCATCAAGCATGGTGATGGCGAGCAGGAAAGGGAGGGGGATGGCATCTCATTAGAGGTTTTTTACGAGGAGGTGTGCTTCGTTGGTGAAGGAGCAGAGAGCCAAGTTCTACATTGTTCAACGCTGTGTTACGATGCTCATTTGTTGGAGGGAGTATCCGTAGATATTTTGATTCATTATTAATTAGAGTTTTTTTTTGTTTCCCCTTTTCTTTCTCTGAGATGGGTTTCGGTTGTCGTCCAAGATTGGAGGAGGAACTAATCAAGAATTTATGGAGTTTTTTTTGTGTGGGTTGGTGATGATGATCTCTTGTTGGCAACCCCCTCCCCTCCGCCGCCACCACCACCGCCT